CCTTGTGAACTGCGGTGGCTAGTTAGGTGCTCTGACGGTGGTGCTGACACAGGGGCTGTTCTGGCAGCAAGTGGGGGAACCCTTTGCAAAGTCTGAGGAGTCAGGATGTCAGCAGGAGGCTCCCAGCCCCCCTTAGATCATAAGTACCCGGATCCCCCCCCAGCCCCAGCGACACCCCCTGCCTCCTGTCGGCCGCCATTACCACAATCCCCCCCCACAACTGGGCACCGGGCCCGTGGAGTCAGGACGCAGCCTGCAGCACATCTGGGCTGCTGAGATCTTGCCAACTCAGCCAAATGGTTGGAGCCGGTTCAGCCTTCCCTACATAGAAACAAGTGATTCTGCACATTGCCAGCAAATGAGTCAGGGCAGCGGGGCTGGCTGGCTGCTTGTTTCCCCTAAGCCAGAGCCGGGCTGGGATGGGAAGCCATTCCAGAGCAGCTGCAGGAATCTCCGTACCAGTCCTTTACCTCGCCTGACCCCAAGCGAACATGATCTGAGTCACAGCCCCTGCGAGGCAGGGCTCCCCCCAGGGCTGCAGAGGGAACGTCGGGGACGGTGGGATCCCTGGGTACGAGGCCTGTCTCTAACCACTAGACCGTGCTGCCTCCAACGGGCTCTGCAGGCAAAGCTATTTGCTAGTGGCGAGGGGCAGTGCTTTTGGCAGCCCCAGGGCCAGAGAATCAGAGCCGGAACATGAATTAGCCGGGAACCCTGCGGGGGGGGGGAGGGCAGCCTGCTGACCAGCCCCTGGATTAACATGAACTAGCACAGGGCCCCTGGGGCGCCTGCCAGCTTTAAATGTCAAAGGGTGGGGGGACCGGAGCCGGCAGTGGGGTTCTCTGCTCAGTGTCCCCCTCTGGATCCCTAGTTCTGAACCTGTGACCTACACTCCCCTCCCTGTTATTCCTTAGTTGTCCCCTGTATTCATTTGGATCCTGGGTCCAGTGGTACCTCCTGCAAGGCTGGGGAAGGGGCCTTTAGAAGCAGGTGGGCTTGTGCCCGCCTGCCGCACAGAATTTCCAATAAGGCCTTGGGCATGACAGTCAGCCCAGTGGAGCCTATCCAGGGCCGGAGGAGCTGGGCCTGGGCTCTGCTGCCCTGCAGCATGCAGGCTGGGGCCGCTCGGGGTTTCTGACCCGGCAGCTCTGCAGAGGGGTCACCCAACTGCCCTGTGATGGATGTGCCCATCTGTAGGCAGAGCCCTGGCACTGCAGTGACTGGTGCCAGGAGAGGGCCTAGACAGTAGGGTTTGCCCCTCCACCACCCTAAGCCAAAGCGGAGCCTGGGCTGTGCACATCTGGCCCAGCTGCTCCCTCGCCAGCTGCCTGGGAGAGCTCCTTCATTTCCCAGCTCTGCCCAGCCTGGTCCAGCTACACCAAGTGTCACAGGCACCCAACGGTGCCTGCTAGGAACAGGTTCTCCCTGACTCCACCCCGCAAGCCTCAGCGATATGCCCGGTGAGCACACACCCCCTTGCTCCCATTGCTGCCCTTGGAGTGGGCACTTCAGCCCTTTACCACCCATGTGGCCCAGTGCCAGGAGCTTCACCCCACCTCATATCCCTGTGTCCCCTGCTCCAGGGCTGCCTTTGCCCTGCTGCTCCCTGCTTTGGTCCTCCACGCTGCTTTAGGTAGAGGGTTTTCCTTACCACTGACACTAAGAGACAAGGGATGGACCTGGCTCCAGGGTCTGCCCCAGAGAGCCCCACATGCTGCTCTGGCTCCAGCTCTCTGCACTGGGCCACACGCCCAGGGAAGGGTCAGGCTTAGGGGTCTGCGGGGTAAATCTGGAAGAGCCAAGGCCTGAGGAGAGCACACGGCCTGCCTCCGCACACTGCCCCAGCTCCCTGTCCATCCTCCAACCTGCTTCCTATCTCTCGAGCTCTCGCTGGCTTGGGTCTGGCTGTTCCTGAGATGCCTAGAATCATAGATCCATGGGGTTAGAAGGGACCGTGGGGTCATCTAGTCTAGCCCCTGTCAAGAAGCAGGATTTGTTGTTTCTAACCCATCCCAGACAGGTGGCTCCAGACGTCTCCTTTTGAAAACCTCCAGTGAAGGAGCTTCAACAACCTCCCTAGGCCTCTGTTCCATTGTCCCACTCTTCTCACAGTGAGGAAGTTTTCCCTGAGATTTCATCTAAACCGGCTCTACTGTAGTTTGAACCCACTGCCTCTTGTCCCGCCCTCTGCGGCAAAAGAGAACACATTTCTCACTCTTTCATGGCAGCCTTTCACGTATCTGAAACGCCTTAAACGCCTCTGTTCCAAACTGAACATACCCAGTTCCTTCAGCCTTTGCTCGTATGGCTGCATTCCTTCCCTTTGGTCATCTTTGTCGCTCGCCTCTGGAGCCTTTCCAGCATAGGCGGCGGGTATTGTAGGCAAGGGGAGGCTGTGCCTCCCCAAACAGCCTACTGTGGCCCCGCCTCCAGGCCAGCGTGCCTCCTGCAGGGACTCGGGGCCGCCTGGTGTTGGACCGCACTGCCTGCCTGGCGCTCCGGGGCTGCCCACCCGAGCACCGGGACTGAGGGCCACCCAGAGACCCGGGGCTGGGAGTGCAGCAACCGCGCTGCCCGGCTGCCCGAGCACCAGGGCTGGGGGCGCTGTGGCCGCGTCACCCAGGGGCTGTGGGCATTGAGGCTGCAGCGCACCAGGGCTGGGGCCTTGCCCCCAGCCGTCCAGTCGCTGGGGCTGGGGGGAGGCATGGTGGGCATGCTTTCAGCTCCTGCAGAGGTGGGGGAGAGGCAGGGCCTCAGGCACAAGGGGTGGGGCCAGAGGTTAGCCTCCCTGGATGGCAGGGTCACCGCCTGCCCATGCTTTCCAGTTTCTCTACATCCTTTCTATACATTGGTGACCAATGTTGGACACAGTTCTCCAGCTGAGGCCTAACCAGTGACGAGTAGAGCGGTGCGATCACCTCCCGTGACTTGGATGCGATCCTCTGTTAATGCAACCTACAACTGCATTTGCTTTTTTGCAACAGCATCGCACTGCTGACTCATGTCGAGGTTGTGATCCACCACAACTCCCAGATCCTTCTCAGCCGTGCTGCTGCCCAGCCAGTTATCCCCCATCCTGTATTTGTGCGTTTGGTTTTTCTTCCCGAAGTGGAGCACCTTACGTTTGTCTTTGTTAAATTTCGTTTTGTTGTCAATAGTTCTCCAATTTATCCAGATCTCTCTGAATTTTAGCTCCATCCTCCAAAGTAGTGGCAACCCTCTCCCCAGCTTTGTGTCACCTGCAGACTTAATCAGTATGCTCGCTAGTCCTACATCCAGGTAATTAATAAAGATCTTAAATAACACCGGACCCAGAACAGATCCCTGTGGAACCCCACTTGAGGCCTCCCTCCAACCTGACGTCATTCCATTAATAGTCACTCTTTGTCTCCGGTTGTTTAAACAATTACGTGTCCATTTAATGGTAGTTCTGTCCAGCCACATTTCTCCAGCTTACTTATCAGAATGTCCTGGGGGACTGTGTCAAAAGCCTGGCTGAAGTCCAGCCTCTCTCCTTCTGAACCACTAGGGCAGGGGGCTCTTGGTGGAGAAGCAGCTGTAGAACTCCCTGCCATTGGAGACCCGACTGGGCCAGAGCCTTGCAACCTTGGGGAGTCCACGCAAAACTCACCCCGCCCTAACCTTCCCCAGTGCCAGACGCTGCCCGGGAGCGACACGGCCAAGGGGCTCTGCGTCAAGCTGGAGCCAGGCTCTGGGGCTGCAGCAGCATGAGAGAGATGTTCAAGTGCCAGAGGGTTCACTGAACTCAGAATGGAAGTGAGGCACCCGCTAAGCCAGTCACCCTACCTGCTCTTCATTACATTACAATCAGCGTATTTCACGCTGGCCTCTGGTTCAGAGCTTTCTGCACGCACCACCCGCTGGCACACGCAGGCTTCGCACCTGTAGAGATGCCTGGGGCAGCTCCCCAGTTAGAGAGATGGTTTCAGGCTCTCTGCAGACTCAGGCAGACCTCCCTCCATTGCTAACAAGTGGGTCATGCTTTTTAACTTTCCTTTGCAGCCACACGGGCTAGAAATGCTGAAGAGTTTCCGGAGCTGACTGTGCAGCAGGGGGCGAGTGCCGTGGGCATGGGGCTGGTGTTGCAGACTGTAAAAGGGCAGGGGTAGAATGACCCCTCCTTGCAAACGCCAGCTGCGGCCCATGGGGTGGGCTGGGGTGAAGAGGCATCCCCAAATGTCTCTGGAGGTAGGGGATGGGGCTGCTGGACCTGCCATGGAGTGACACCCCATAACCCAGTTTTGGGCTCTCACCCGGACATGAGATGCTGCTTTCTGCACCTGGAGCTTGCCGCGGTCCCAGGAGCGGGAGTGTTTGGGGGCCTCCTGCTCTGACTTGCTGCTGGCTCCCAGACAGGCCCATGCTTCCTGCCTGCCAGAGCCTGCGATGCCGCTGGCCCGCCGTTCCCCGCCCCGTTGTCAGGGGGTCGCTCCCGCACCCCCAGAACGCTGGGCATTCCAGTACTTCTGGGAACGGGGCGATCCCACGCCTGCCACGTGACCTCTTGTGCACAGTGTGTGTGAGGTCACGCCAGCGGTGCACTCTGCGAAATGGCCTCCCCAGCCGAAGGCAGGGAAAGAGGACAAACCCGAGGAATGTGGCGGTGCCCAGCTAAAAGTGGGCGAGGGCCCTGCTGCCTTGTTACCCTGGCCCCAGCACACAGAGGGGCCCCCTAACCAGCCAGTCTCCCCTGCCCTGCCCAGGGATCCCTGCTCCCAGCCCTGAGCAGAGGTTTGGGACAGAGCCCCCAGGCCAGGGACCGGGATGGAGAATCCGTCCCACGGGTCACACGGACCCACTCCTGTCCCCAGAGCTCCCGGGGGCAGCGCTCCAGCCCCCCGTGCCTCCTCTCCCAGCTTGGCTGGGGCTGCCCAGGGCAGGGGCTTGGGACGGAGCCCTGCGGGGTGACCCCCGCCTCCCCCCGGACCGGCCAGCCCCTGAGCACGGGGCGGGGCTCAGCCTGGCCCCAGCTGCCGGGGTTGGGGGGCTGGCGAGCCCAGGCGGGGTCTGCAGCGAGCCCGGCCGCCCCTCGCTCTCGGGCTGGGGGCCGCGCAGACCCCGCCCCGCCGGGCAGGAGGCGGCGCGGAGCCGAGCGGAGCGGGGGGCTCCCACCGGGGACATTCCCGCCCGGGCTGCGGGGCCGGAGGCGTCCGAG